AATCTAATTCTTTTTCTTTCTCTCTTTCTATGAGCGTGGCAGAGAAAGGCACAGGCACATGCAGAGAGAGAGAGAGAGAGAGAGAGAGAGAGAGAGAGAGAGAGAGAGAGAGAGAGAGAGAGAGAGAGAGAGAGAGAGAGAGAGAGAGAGAGATGAGAGAGAGAGAAAGTAGAGAGCAGTGAGACAGACAGACAGACAGATGGATAGATAGACAGACAGACAGACAGATAGATAGATTAGAGAGAACTGACAGACAGAAGACAGGGACAGGGGAGATGCAATACGATAAACGAAAGATATAAGACACCATAGCTCTCAAGAAAAGACGAATGGAAAGGGAGAAGGAGGAAAGCAAAGAAGGGAAAGAAAGACAATAAATAGAGGGCATAAAGTAAGAAAGCCAATGAAAAGGGGACGTGATAAAAGCAGAGGAGAAGGAGGAGGGAATAAAGGGAATAGCAACAGGAAATGATCGTCAAGAAAGAGTGGAGTAAAGATGATTAAGATAAGTAAGTAATAATTAATTATAATGATAATGCGACGATTATAATGATAATACTATAGATATTAAACAATAACACAGATGATAAAGGTGATCATGAATATAACGATATGACAGTATGGTTTTAGCGTAAGGATAACAGTACTATCAAAGATAACCATGATATTGATGATAAAAGTGATAATGATAATAACAAAAAAAAAAAAAAAAACGATAATGATAATGACAGTGATAATGATCATGAATATGAATATGATGGTAATACTAAGGCTGATAATATTAACAATGATGATAATAATATAAAAATACAAAAATAACGATGATAGTGATAATGATACTAATGACAATAATGATAACTATATTACTGTTACTGCTAATGATGACGATAATATTCATAAGAATAACAAATATGATAACAATACTGATAATAATAATTATTGATAAACAAAAATTGTTACAATGATGATAGTAGCAGTAGCATAATGATGGTATCAATAATAATAATAATGATAATAACAATAACACAGCAACAACAACAATGATGATAATTATAATGATAATGATAATATCGACAACAACAATGGTAATAAGGATAATAGGAATAATGATAATGGTAAATAATAATAATCATCATCATCATCATCATCATAATAATAATGATAATAATAACAATGATAATGATAATGAAATAATGATATGATACTACTACTAATAATAACAATAATAACAGTAATATAATAATAATAACAATAATAATCATGATAATAATAGTAATAATAATAATATATATTAATTGATGAAGATGATGATGATGATGATGATGATTAATGATAATGATAATGATAATGATAATAATAATAATTATGATAATTACAGCAATAGTAACAATAAAAATGATAATAACAATAGTAATGAAAGTAACAATACTAACAATATTGAATATTATGATAATGATAATAGTAATAACAAATAGAAGCAGAAATATTAACGATAATCATAATAGTGAAAAATATGTTAATGATAACAACAATAAACAACAAAAAAATATAATGATAATGATAATAAACACACACACACACACACACACACACACACACACACACACACACACACCACACACACATCACACACACACACACACACACATAAAATATATATAATATAATACATAGGAAGGAGGTAGAATGAGAGAGACAGAGAAAGAAGAAGAAGAAGCAAGAGGGGAAGAAAAGAGAAACAAGGAGAGGAGAAAGATTATGGCAAGGATCCAAAGACAGTGTAAGATATCAACACAGTTCATCACTCACTCCGTGAACTGGCCTCGAAGGGACAGCTCCCCCCCCCCTCTCTCTCTCTCTCTCTCTCTCTCTCTCTCTGTGTCTGTCTGATCCCTCTCTGTCTCTGTCTCTCTCTTCTTCTCTCTCATTCTCTCTCTCTCTCTCTCTCTCTCTCGTCTCTCCCTGTGTGTGTGTGTGTGGTGTGTGTACTGTCTCTCTCTCCTCTCTCTCTCTCTTCTCTCTCTCTCTATCTTCTCTACTCTCTCTCTCTCTCTTCTCTCTCTCTCTCGTCTCTCTTCTCTTGTGTAGCCTCTGCTGTGTGTGTGTGTGTGTGTGTGTGGTTGTGTGTGTCTGTCTGGTCTGTCTCTTTCTCTCTCTCTTCTCTCTCTCCTCATCTTTCTTTCCTTCTCTCTCTCTCTCATCCCCCTCTCTCTCGTNATAACAATATCGCCAATCTACTACCGCTACCACTTACAACAACAATAAAAATAATAATAAAACAGAAACCGAGAAGTGTAGTGGCGCCAGGCTGATAAATTCTCCACTGATACCTGTAATTACATTTAATTGAAGGTAGTTAGCCAGTTTTCTTGTCGGGTCTGCGTTTTCCACCCAAGGCCTTTTTCTCTGAGTTGGGAAGAAATGACGTTTTGGAGAGAGAGTGGGAGGAGGGAGAGAGGGAGGGAGAGCGAGAGAGAAAGTGAGGGAGGGAGAGCGAGAGAGGAAGGGAGAGAGGGGAGGAGGGAGGGAGAGCGAGAGAGGAAGGAAGAGAGGGAGGGAGATCGAGAGAAGAAGGGAGAGAGAGGAGGAGGGAGGGAGAGCGAAAGAGGAAGGAAGAGAGGGGAGGAGGGAGGGAGAGCGAGAAAGGAGAGCAGGGAGGGAGAGCGAGAGAGAGAGAGAGAGAGAGAGAGAGAGAGAATTAGAGGAAAAGAGAGAGAGAGATAATTTTTTCTTCGCCATATCTGTCTTCCTCAGTCGCTTTATTTACTAGTATATTTATCCTTCATTCATTGCACGTGAAAAGGGCTTGATCAGATAAGTATAATTTTCAAACCAGATTATAATGCAAAACTGCAAAATCTTATTGTAAAAGAAATCCTGAATTAGGTAAATTTACCAATAAAAAGACGATTTTCAGCAAGAACCACGATGTAATAATCAATGTTTCATTCACACCCCCTGTACCAGCTGACCATTCTGGTGTGGGTTATACATTTTCGCAAATAAGCCAAAGCATTGGGATGTATAGAGACCTGTGACTAGTCGAAAAATGGAGAAGAAACATGTGAGACGAAATAGTGTAAATACCGATGGAACAAAACGCAAAGAGACTTTGTGAACTGCCAGACTTTTCTCGAAGATGCAAGCCAATCGTTTCTCTGGTTTCTCTCCGAGTTTTACAATTGATTCCATTAAAATTCCGAGAGAGTGTGAGTAGTTCACAATGAATGTCTTGTTGAATTAACCGTTACTTAACGTTAAGAAATTTGATGATTTTTAAAATTCTCTCTCCTCTCTCTGTCTCTCTCTCTCTCTCTCTCTCTCTCTCTCTCTCTCTCTCCTCTCTCTCTCTCTCTCTCTCTCTCTCTCTCTCTCTTTCTCTCTCTCTCTCTCTCTTCTTCTCCTCCTTGTCTCTCTCTCTCTCTCTTCCATCTCCCTCTCTCTCTCTCTTCCATCTCCCTCTCTCTCTCTCTTCCATCTCCTCTCTCTCTTCTCTTCATTCTCTCCTCTCTCTCTCTCTTCCATCTCCCTCTCTCTCTCTCTTCCATCTCCCTCTCTCTCTCTCTTCCATCTCCCTCTCTCTCTCTTCCATCTCCTCTCTCTCTCTCTTCCATCTCTCTCTCTCTCTCTCTTCCCTCTCTCTTCTCTCTTCTCTCTCTCTCTCTCTCTCTTCTCTCTCTCTCTCTCTCTCTCTCTCTCTCTCTCTCTCTCTCTCTCTCTCTCTCTCTCTCTCTCTCTCTCTCTCTCTCTCTCTCTCTCTCTCTCTCTCTCTCTCTCTCTCTCGTATCCAAAAGTGCCACGTGTTACAGTTCCAAGTCTTCGGGAAAGAGAACAGCTGTGTTGGGTGTGCGTCCCTTCAGTCTATCTGAGGGGTAGACACTGAAAGCATTTTACTTCAGGTATACTGTACATCTCACAATAAATTAATTACGCAAACAAAAATCATTTAAACTTTAATTCATGTTACCTTTAGTATATCTAAGAAAAATTGTCCCATCACAAAATTCTGTGGCCACTACTTTTTTAACTATCATCAAATATACATTTAAAAATATACATTTATGCATAATATATCATTTTTGTATTCTTTGATGAAAGAATAGTAGTGATGTACATGATCTCTCATTTCTTGGATGGAAACTTAAATAAAGTTTGCATCTTACTTTTACTGTAATGCATTGTAGTATTATCTCAATAAGGGCACTTGATGAGGTAACATATATTGTACCACATTACTAACTAGATCTCTTAACAAGTAATTGCATAATTGCAGTAAATTTTGCACTTCGTATATAAAAAAAAAAAAAAAATTCCATTTTTCTTCATCAAAGTTTAATTAACAAAAGTTTGTAAACATATAATGAATTCATTTGCATAGTTCAGGTATTCTCAGTCCTTGGAAAGTATATCATGGATAAAAATAGGTTGCCGATATTTTACAAATCATTAGCATATACAGAATGTCTTGGTATATCTGTTAGATATAAAGTACATTTACCATTCAAATGGAATAAAATGTTTAGCAGTCTACAACACAGCATATGTGCTATTGCAATGAAGAGTGAAAATCTTGAAACCTTTGACAAAATATTTGTTTATTTTAGAAAACAATAATTTCTTTTGAGATAGTTTTCAGGTTGCTGCTCCATCAGGTATTTGGTATCATTAAAGTATATATAGGAGAAGCTTTGTATCCTTCCAAAGCATACAAAAATTCAAGGCTCAATCCTCATATTCATCATCATTGGGGAGCTAATGCTGGCAGGGATGCATAGCTGCATTCATCCCTTTGTTTCTGCCTGTGAGGGTCCCTCTGATGAGTTACTAGGCAGGTGCTAGGCCCATCTCAAGCTCTTCATAACTGGTTTGATTGATCTGCCCAAGCCAAAACTTCCTAGGTCGTCCCATTGGCCTCCTCCATCCAGGGTAGTCTCGCACAGAGACAACCTGGTAGGAAGGACCATCTTTATATTCATCAGGATAAAATTAAAATACAATAATACAACTTAATCTGTGTATTATCTATTCATACAGAAAGTATACAAAATGTTACTGCCTAGCTATAACAGAATACAAACCCAAATATATAAACAATACATCATTCACTCATTCACTAAGCAAACAAATACATTCACCAATTTTTCTGCCGTAGAAAATGCTAAATGAAAACAACAGATAGATACATATGTTAAGGAAAGTATACAAACTGAATAAGCCCAATCCATAACATACTTCCTTAGGCAATGCACACTGCAGAAAATATGGTATACCTTGCACACTTGAGTTTATTCTGTTACACACACACACACACATCCACACAAAAAAGTTTCCTCTGAGAGAAGAAAAGTATAAAAGAGCTTACATTTTAAAAAGAAACTCCAGACACAGTATATTGCTATAAAATGGGTCATTTCACATCAAAGACTTCAGGTGTATGTCATGAAAAATGGCAAATTGTGGTGGGAGAAAAAACATATTTGGAAGAATCTATGAATTCACTTTGGAGTTATAATACATGATAACTGAATGATATATAACATACACAATTCTTGAAAAAAAATTAATTATTTAGTAAGTATCAAAGCTTGTCCCAGAGCTGGGAATATTGTGTTAATATGCTTGTTACACATTTTTGTTTATGTTCAATATATGAAACACTTTTTACACATACGAAAGAGCTCATTCATTATGTAAAAGGACTTGACTTAAACAGATGGAGAGATAATTCATCACAAAAATAACAAAGCATCTACGTAATTATTTACAAGTTCATGCACTGTATACAACAACAGCATTATATTTCAAAATACAAAATATAGTAATATTAATGAAACAGTTTTAGAAATCTCTGACACGGCTAAGTTTGGCATCAACTTCTTCAATAATGTTATCAATCCGTTCACTGACACCTTTGAAGGCTGAAGGAGGGGGACCAATCATTTTGATCAGAGCTGGCACTTCAGTGGAGGAGTAACAGAATCTGAAAAATTAGTGAAATACTTTATTACTCAACCATTAAAATCTCCAAACCAACATCAAAATCCAAATTTTCACATCAAATATAGTCACATTCAAATGAGAGAGAAAACAAAGTACTCATGACAAGTCTTAAATACACCTATATTTCTTATTTATACAGTGCTATGTGTGGCAAATGTAAAACCATCCAAGAGATACTGTTTACATAGAATACCAACCTGCAAAGAGCTGTCATTGTTCTCCATAAAAGCTCCTCAGGGGGATGGCTATTTAGGTACTGAAGAATTGCCATTGCCAGCTCAGGAGCAACATCATCAAAGACTACAGTTTTGACCTCTTTCGTACCTAGGTTGTACATGAGGGCTGTACCATATTCTTGAACCTGTAATAATCATTGTTATCATTTAATTGGTTTATATAACACTGTGAGATACCAAACACTTCTGACTGCCTTTTAGTCTAAAAGTGACAATAGAGTAGTTAATTTCCATGAACTGCAGATCAGAATCCATAATAATCAGAATAACATCAGAAGACTTTTCTGTCACTGCAAACTCTAATATGCTACATTTCCAAAACCTTTAAAATACACACCTTTTGATTCTGATGTAGAAGAGCATTAACAGCAACTTTTGTAGTAACTCGGATGTTGCTGGTCTGCTGAGCTCCATCCTGCCACTCACTGATATTAGCAACCACTCCGACGGACTCAGGTGCTCAAACATGTTGCAGAACTAAACATGTATAAAAACACAGTATTGGCAAAAAAAAACATGTCCACCTATGGGTAAACTACAAAACAAATATGTGTATAAAGAAACAGCATTATGTTACTGATCAATATGAATCTACTAGCTATCAACAGTCTTTGTTTAAACTTGAATTCTCTTCATACAATACAGAGATATATAGATATAACTATTATAACAGACTCATTTAATAGCATTATGAGTTCAAGAAGTGTATGTAAAATACTTACAAAGAGAGCTAAAGATTCTTGGTGAATGGGTGGCAGACTTTCAACCTTGTTAGCATAATTCATGATTGTGTGGTCTTTGCGGTCCTGGTGTAGCAGCAAAATAACATCATCTTTAAGGGCAGCAGCAGCCATAAGTCGAACAAGGTGAAGACGTGCATCATCTGGCACACTTGGATCATGAAGTATTCGGTTAAACAGAATACTGAAGTTTTCACCAAGCGCCCAGGATCCTTCATCTTCTACTACATAAGCACGAAGTTCATTCAGATGTTCTTTTTCTTCAGGACTGAGAAGATTTCCAACACTGGATGCTAATCCCTCAAATTCAGCTGGTGCCTGCAAAGTAAAATATACATTTTCTTTTTATTCTCTCAACATTCTACAAACCAAAAAGATCAAATAAATTAACACTCACAAATTTAAGTAACATTCATATCTTTTCTTTTTGCACTTTTGCACACCACAAAAAATAAACTGCTCTCTAACACACCATCTACAAATCAGACCACTCTACACATAAACAGGATATGGAAGCCACGACTTGAGCAGCAACAGCACCAACGTTGTCATGCAGGTCAGAGGAGCTACGGCGGATGTGGTGGACGTAGACTGATGATAGGTAGGTGGTGGTTTTGGGGGTTCACCGCCGGGGGCACAGCAGGGCGGGAGAGCAGCCACAACTGGCTGCAAATACCCACCTGCTCAACAACGCTGGTGTAGACCACTGGTGGCTCGTACGGGCGTGCAGGGCCCAGGTAGCAGAGCAAGGCACTCTGGGGCTCAGGGGAGCCAAGGTCAGTGTGGACTGTACCGTGGCACAGGTCGATATACCACCAACGAGTCGTGTGAGCCACGCAGACTCCCGTTGGGGGACGCCAAGAGGTATGGGCGAATCCGTGGAGGGGGTCGGTCAAGGAATTCTTCCCCACGTGGTGGGGGGGTTGTGGAACAGGTTGATGGGGCAAATTCAAAAGTGGAAATGGATCTAATTGATGATGGGGCACGGGGCAATCGCCGCAGGAAGGAAGATATAGATTCTAAGGAGTAAGCTCTAGAAGGTGGAGCTGGTTTTGGGCTACAGGTGATGATGGCTTGAGCGTGTAACAGGGGATGGAGTTGGCTGTGGTGAATGGGGGATTGGAGACAAAAGAAATTGAGGAGGTGGAGGGCCTTGAGACTGTGATTTACAATTCAGTGTTGAACAAGAATCAAAGGAGAGTGAATGTGATCTTGATCTCCAACTTAAACAGGACTCATATGAAGATGCTCGTGAAATGCCATGCATACGTCTGAATGCAGCATTATTAACTTCAAAGTACTGTTGATCAGGAGTTACTGTTCGCATGGTGTCTACTGTAGCAATGGAGGTAACTGAGTTACTCCGGCTTAGTAATGGGGGCGAAGGTGAGTTTTCTGGGGATGATGGCAATTCCTGGGGTGTTGGGACCCGGCCAACTGGATCCACAACATACAGAATATAGTAGGAAGAGCCAAATGAGAGCCCTGATGTCGAAGAGCACATTGACAAGTCAGAACATGTTGTTGAGGAGCGAGAAAGAGATGGGGAAATCATAGGTGTGTGGTATGTACGTGTGGACGGGGAAGTATTAGAATTATTTGATGCTTCTTCAATGAATATGTCTTGGGGAAGTTCTGGTGTAGGTACACGAGTGGATCTAGTTGAGGTACCAGACAAATTGTTATTGATATCAGAATCTTCTGACTTTGATGAACAAGAGGAGTTCTTCACTGATGAATGTGAGGAAGACTGTGATGATGAATGGTAAGAAGATGAAGAAGAGCAAGTTGAGGAGGAGGATTGACTGGAAAGGGAGGAACAAGATGAAGAGGAAGAGGATGAGGAATAGAAATAAAAAGGAGATGAAGTTGAGGATGAGGATGAGGGTGATGATGCTAATAATAAGTCTGAACATGAGGATGAGGCAGACAACGACAAACATGGGGAAAGGTCGCCTGATCTATAACCGGGGAGAAGGTAGGACCAAAAGTCATCATTATCAGAACCACCATCATCATCAACACCAGTACTCACATCCAGTTCATCCTTGAAGACAATAGGAGGTTCACGCTCTACTTCTGGTTCAGGTTGTTGGGGAGGTGACTCTCTGGCTGGGGCCTGAGCAGGTGCGACTTCCTCAGGCTGTACCTCTTGAGCAGAGTCTGCCATTGTGCCTTCTACAGCAGCTGCTTCACCTTTTCAGTAACAGTCTCTGTGTCTACCACTCTGCTTTCAGCTGTGGTGTGGCACCTCTGCTGCTGGAGATGGAAGACGCTCAAAAGGCTCTGGCTCTGTTGATACAATCTCCCCACTGCTAGAATTTTCAACCGAAGTTCTACCTGTGTTGAGCCCTTCCAGAGACTCAGTTACCTCCTGTAGAGGATCTGGCAAGATCTCTTGTGGATTATCTCCTTCTGAGTTGTGACGGGAGTGAGAAGCAGACTGTAGGCCTGAGCAGCAAGGGGAATTCTGTTGTTCCTCTATTTGACTCAACTTGAGTGACATGCTTCTTTTTCTTCTTCTTGCCTTCTTCTGAGGTGTCTCCACTTGATTTGGACTTCTTCTTCTTCTCCTTTTTCTCCTTCTTTTCCTTCTTTTCTTTCTTGTCTTTTTCTCTTCTTCTTTTTTAATTATCTTTTCATTTATAGAATTACGGCGATCTTCAAGTATGATTCCGTTTTGTCTGTAAAAGACAACAATTAGAATTTAAAATGGGGCAAATTCTAAGTGGAAAGCCCTTTATATTTTATTTATTAATACTTTATTTTCTAGAATAAAAATCATTTATCTTGATATCTTTTTGTATCGAGTATAATAATATCAACAAACAAACACTTTAAATACTAGTAAAAATTGATCTATTAATATATAAAACTATTAAGAGGACATTACAATTATAAGAAATATCCTATAAACCAGGTTTGTCAGGAATTCATGACAACAAAATATTTCACTTTTTTCAATTGAAATGAATACTTATTCTAACTTTATAACTACATATTCTTTAGGAAATTAATTTTGAAGTTTAAGGTTAGAATGACCAATGAAATTATTAACACTGGTTATAATGTTGTGGTTTTACTTCTTTCTTTTTGGCTTTGTTAAATTATTAAGTTAAGTAAATGGACTTACCTATGCCGATAAACACACACTGCATAGAATCCAGACTGGTTCCATGGACTGCTTCCTTTTTGTTAGTATTACATATTAATGTAATTCTGAATCTTTTTTTCATGAAAACTGGCTAAAATTTATTCTCTTCATATGACTAATCATTACTTAAACACATGCACTTTAGGAAATGGTATTTCATCCAAAAGCAAAACAATACATTAGTATTTTTTTTTTTTTACATGTTACTGTTTTTCATTCTTTAAGTAAAGCCAAAAAAAATTGTATCCCCTTTAGAGAATCTATTTACTCATAATTACTCACCTGATCTGATCTATAGCATTATTCAGCTCCTCCAATTCAGGTGAGTCGTCGTGTCTATGCGATGTCACCTCAGACGGGATATAGCTATGCAAGTTGTTGTTGAAATTTGCAAAGTTAACTTTCTTGAATCTGTGGATTTGATCTCCAAGTCCTTCAAGGCAGTCTTCAGTGTTTCTCCAAGTGAACTGGTGGAAACAACAGCCAAATGTAAATAACATATGATGGCATATTTTCAATATATGCATGTAGGAGAACAGGAGAGGAGAGGAGGGAGAGGAGAGGAGAGGAGAGGAGAGGAGAGGAAGAGAGAGGAAGGAGAGGAGAGGAGAGGAGAGGAGGAGAGAGGAGAGGAGAGGAGAGGAGGAGAGGAGAGGAGAGGAGAGGAGAGGGAGAGGAGAGGAGAGAGGAGAGAAGAGAAGAGAGAGAAGAGAAGAGAAGAGAAGAGAGAAAGAGAAGAGAAGAGAGAGAGAGGAAGAAGAAGAAAGAAAGAAAAGAAAGAAAAGAAAAGAAAAAAAAGAAAAGAAAAGAAAAGAAAAGAAAGAAGAAAAGAAAAAAAAGAAAAGAAAAGAGAAAGAGAAGAGAAAAGAGAGAGAGAGAGAGAGAGAGAGAGAGAAGAGAGAGAAGAGAGAGAGAGAGAGAGAGAAGAGAGAGAGAGAGAGAGAGAGAGAGAGAGAGAGAGAGACAGTGAGAGAGAGAGAGAGAGAGAGTGACAGAGAGAGAGAGAGTGACAGTGAGAGAGAGAGAGTGACAGTGAGAAAGAGAGTGACAGTGAGAGAGAGAGAGTGACAGTGAGAGAGAGAGTGACAGAGAGAGAGAGTGTGTGAGAGTATGTCAAAGAGAGAGAGTATGTGTGAGAGAGAAAGAGGAGAGAGAGAGAGAGAGAGAACGAGAGAGAGAGAGAGAGAGAGAGAGAGAGAGAGAGAGAGAGAGAGAGAGAGAGAGAGAGAGAGAGAGAGAGAGAGAGAGAGAATGTAGAAACAGAAAGACAGACAGACAGATAATGTAGTGAGTCATACTTTACATATCACATTTCAAAATAAGTACTATAAAAGATCAATATATGATCTACAAAAAAACAATGAAAAATATATTGTCAACTATATCACCAAAAAACAAATTCAATGCCGATTAAAGTTAAAAGCATGCACATGTCATTTTCTTCAACTTAATATAATCCAATTAATATTTTGAAAATACACACCTCTCGCCGTCTAGCCATCATCACCAAGTGTCAGACTCCTCATCAAACACAAAGGAACTTTTTATCACAAACACTTCTTTCCTTGAAAACATGTGCTCTCAAGTGTAAATCAATATGAGTATCCCTTCTCTGTTGTGTCTTCTTGGGAGTCTGTATATTTGTTTATATGTTTGTTTGTGTTACATTAACATGAAGTAATAATTGCTTGGGTGTAGCTCCCCCCAAAATGAGATAATGGTAAATGAAAGGAGAAAAGATAAGAAAGCTTCTTATTTATAGATATTCATGATGTATTTGCTTTTTTTCCATTTACATCAGTATAATCTACTATTTGTCACAAATCTTATACATCAAGCAAAAATGTGATTAATCCTATAAAACACTGTAAAACTTCATACTTGATATTACAAGGACTTTAGATTATTTAAAACACACAATCTGTATTGAAATATCATTGCTGAAATATCAAGAGAGTCCATGTATAATTTCAATAACCTCATACATGTACAAAAAGCATTATTTCCCTCGATCACTGTACATTCTTTGCACTAGTGTTGCTGTTCATGATCTCCTAAGGCTCGAGACACAAGTTCCTTAGGAGAAGAGGTAGGAGAGTTGGGCAGAGAGGCAAAGCTCCTTCAACTGCCAAAGGGATTGGCCATAGAGAGTAAAGAATCACCATTGTGTTTGACTGTTGTGGGGCACGTTTGATTGTGAAAGTATATTTACTCATCCAGGCAAATGGAAAACTAAGTCAAATCAAAAGAGAAAAAGTAGGAGATGAATGCATGGTGTCTATTGTCCAGTAGTAGTAAATTACATTTCACTTTTATCTTTCTATATTCTAAATATGTACCAGTATTCCTAGGACACGTCCATCTAAAAGA